AAACAACAATTTCCCAGTTCCTTGGGGCAAATTGATTGATCATTGCTCAAGATATCTATTGATCTGGTGTGGTGAGCAGGGCATGGATACAGATGGTAACTATTAATCAGAGGTATAATGGTAGTATTATTAACTACTATTACTCCTCCTGGTACGCCAGTGAGCAGAGGTAAGTCTTCAGCTGTTTCTTGAAAGCAGGGAGGGAGGGAGCCATCTTTAACTCCTTTAGGAAGGGGTTAGTAATGAGTGTTGGAAATGCGGCGCACAACTTGGAACGTACTATCATGTTTGGTGGCAATGTAAAGTAGTTAAGAGCTTCTGGAGGGAAGTACATCAACAGGTGCAGGGAATACTGCAAGTCAAATTTGAACTTAAGGCAGAATATTATCTACTGCATTTAATTGATTTTGAGTTGGATCGAAATAAGGAAATGCTGTTATGTCATCTATCAGCCGCAGCAAGAACAGTGTTTGCAAGTAAGTGGAAATTAAAGGAACTGCCGACAATGGAGGCCTGGTGGCTGAAAACTAGGGACTATATGGAAATGGACACTCTGGCAAGCATTGTTTATGAAACAAGCAAGAAAAGGAAAATAGACTGGCAACCGGTAAGGGAATATTTAAAAAACCAAGAAGAATATTCTGCTGTGAGATGAGGGAAGGTGATTATTGAAAACCAAATAGAGTAACATAGAGTTACATTTACAAAGATTTAGGACCCCGTGGAATGCTGGGAAGTTCATTAGATGTCTGTCAATGTCTTTTTTGTTGTCTACCCAAATCCCCCCCCATCACCCAACTCATTACCCACCTCTCTTCCACCTCCCCATCCCCTTCCTTCCCACCTAGCAACATTTTTCCCATCCCCCCCCCATTCCTCGGAGTCATAGTGTATCCACGTTTATACGTGACGTTGTGTAAATATGGCAACGTATATTTGTCCGATATGTTTGATGTGTAAGTTGGGTTTGTATGGAATAACTGTAAAACCTGTAATAAAGACTATTTAAAAAAAAAAAGGAAGGGAGTTACAGAGGTGAGAGGCAGCCATGGAGAAGGCTCTTTCTCTCGTTCCCACCAGCCGTGCGTGGGATGGGGGTGGGACTGAGAGGAGGGCCTCCTCTGATGACCGCAGTCTCCAAGTTGGTCTATAGTGGGAGATATGGTTTGTCAAATACCACTCTTTGGAAGAGAAGGCTAATCTTGTGAAACAGTACCTCCCAGGATTCCATAGGGACGGGGTTGTCAAATTTCAAATCCCAGTGAAATCTGAATGAGATTTTGATTCCAGTTTTGTTTTTGCAGTTGAGAAGAGGTGAAAGGGTTGGTTTTTGCTTAATGGTTGGAAGGACCATTACAACTCCCCCATCCCTGTCACCTTCAGAAAGCTTAAAAAAGGATCCTTCCAACTCTACCTAATATGGGTTTTCCATGAGAGAACCCATTTTAGGAGAAGCATGTGATAATTCCCAAAGCATCAGGCTAAGATTCTGGGAGGCCAGGGTTCTAATCCCTGTTCAGCTAAGGAAACCCACTGAATGAATTTGGAGAGGTCACACTCTCTCATCTTCAGAGGAAGGCAAAGACAAAACCCCTCTGACTGAATCCTGTCAAGGAAACCTTCGAGAAGGGTGGCCATAAGTTGGAGCCAATTTATCAATTTCAGCTCATTCCAACAGGCAGGCGGCGGGGAACATACAATTCTTGTGTGAGGCAGAGTTGCACCTGGGACTAATTTTACACTTCAGACTTTCATACAAGATCTCAGCCAATCTATATAAATACAAATGTAATGTTTGTTTGTGGGATTAACATCACTCAAAAACCACTGGATGAATTGACACCAAATTTGGACACAATACACCTATCAGGCCAACAAGTGACCATCACTTATAAAAACACTGAAAAACACAGCAGAAGAGACTTAAAAAGCCACCCCCCCCCAAAAAAAATTACATTACAACACATGCACAAAACCACACACACACATTTATACACACATGTAAACACACATATATACACATACATACACAAATCACATATACACAGACAAGGCCACAGCAACGTGTGGCAAGGGATGGCTAGTGTTTTATATAATCCCTTACCTCCAAGTGTGTGTGGGAGAGAGAGAAAATGTTTCATTTGTGAGTGGGTTATTACTTTATTTCTCCAATGGGACAAAAGGGGGGGGGGGTATAGGATAGTGTGTCCCTCTTAAAACATGTGTCTTTAGCCCTGGGACCTACCACTGAATGAAATCTGTGTCGATGGCATTACAAGCACATGCAGCCATGTCAAAGATGCCAAGACAATCCCAGCGATTCTAAGACTCAATGACTTGACCAATTTGCTATGTTCCTCTTGTTGTTATTTGTCATCAAGTTGACTATTACTATGAATGAGGGACTTCCAAGATCTCGTGTCATTGATTGCTTTGCCCAGTCTTTCAAATTCAGGGCTGGCGCTTCCATGACTGAATGGTTCTGTTACCTGGGCAAAATTTGGGGTCCAATGGTCCAACTGTAATTGGTTAAAATGAACCACAGACGTATTTTAAAGGCAACAATTCCCCAACCAGCAAACATTTCTCCTGCTCATACCAAATGTCCTTTGTGGCTTCCTTTCCCCAGATCCAGGTCTGTGGCAGAACCTAAGGGACTGGTTCTAATGGTTCAATATTGGAAAGATCCAGCAGAGGGCAGGCTCCTCTAAGCAAACCCCTGGAGCATGAGCCAGCCAGAAGAGGATTAACTAGACTTCTCCCTGACCCAATCTCACTTCATTATTCTGCAGCTCTGAGCATCTGCATCCACTCATGAAATAAATTTAAAAACCAAGTTCTAAGTGACTTCTGGGGCTTGTTCCACTCCACTAAGGTATAAATGGCTTTCATAAATAGCTCTGGTAGAGAAGGCTGAAGGGATTTGAGGACAGATGGGAAAAGCACAGAAAGACTGTTTTGTGAAACTTTAGTTAAAGATAACATTGGCCTGGAAAAATGTGGAGGCTTAAAGTGATAGGACTGTTTTGTCCAAGCTGACAATCCCAGGAGGGATGACAAGGGACAAAAAGAATTATTATTTATTATTATTTCGAACACTTGTACCCCGACTCGGGGGGGGGGGGGGGGGGGGGGGGCGATGCAGGGCAGCTTCCAATCGGCAGTGATTCGATGCCACAATAAATACATAATAAAATACATAATAAAACAAGCAATCAATTATAAATAGTTAAAAACATTAAACAATACAATTTAAAAACAACTACGAATTACCATTTTAATGGCCATTATTAGCCAAAAACTAGTTGAATGCTTCATCAAACTTATCCATAATCCATTTCCAAGCTATTGTCAATATTGTTATTGTCATTGTCTGCTTAATTATCCGAAGGCCTTGTCCCACATCCAGGTTTTTAACTTTTTCCTAAAGGTGAGGAGGGATGTAGATGACCTAATTTCCACGGGGAGTGAGTTCCACAGGCGGGGGGCCACCACTGAGAAGGCCCTGTCTCTCGTCCCCACCAAGCATGTTTGAGACAGAGGTGGGGCTGAGAGCAGGGCCTCCCCAGAAGATCTTAATCTCCAAGGTGGGACATAGAAGGAGTTCGGACAGGTACGCTGGACCAGAGCCATATAGAGTTTTATAGGTCAAGACCAGCACTTTGAATTGTGCTCGGAATTGGATCGGCAGCCAGTGGAGTTGACATAGCAGGAGCTGACATTGCTGCAATTTGTCAAGCAGTAGTTGCAAACAGTCTCCTCAAGGGTCAGATAACCTAAGTTAAAACTGCTTTCCAAAGTCTCTTTTGTACCACAGAATTATAACACTCTGGTAATACTTTGACTGCCATGGCTTCATCCCACAAAGCTCTGGGATTTGTAGTTTGGCAGAGAATTTTAAATACCTCACAAAACTATAACTATAGTGTAAAGGATATGGACCCAGGTAAGGAAAGCTTACCATGATGATGAGGGACAACAGTTAGGAAGGAAGCTTGGAACAGCCAGAAAAAAAACTGACTTTGCTCAGATATTAGGCCCGGTGCCATCTAATGATTAAAAGTTACAATGCCAAACTATAATCGGCCCTTTGTATCCATGGATTCTGTGTCCACATATTCAGTCATCCAAGGCTTGGAAATATGTTTTGTTTTAAATCCAAAAAATCAAATTTGCAATTTTATGTAAGGGGTACTATTTTACTATGCTAGTGTATATAATGAGACCTGATCCACCCTTGGTATCTAGGGACGTCCTGGGACCAAACCGTAGCAGATATCAACAGCTTGCTGTAATGTAAACATGCTGTTAGCTGATCTTTATATAATCTTGATATGATACTAAATTGATCATATCCTGCTATCCTGCCTTGTTCTTCACAACAGCACGAGAAAGAAGATGGGCAGAGTGCTCCTAATACCAGGCTGGGTGCCTGACACACTAGAGTCCATCACTGAGAAGTGAAGTTGAACCAAACTGTCTAGTTCTCCCATTTGCCAGTCCTTTTTAACTAATACACTGCACCCATATTAAAGACATTAAAAGCACCCTGAACCCCCTGAAAAAAAGGGTGGAACACAAATATTGTGATCTTGATACTTCAGCTAAATAATATAAGCAGGGAAAGCCTTTGTCAAATCAGAGATGACCTACAAAGAGAAATAAGACATTCAAACTTGTTTAAGAATTCATCTGCATAAAAATGTTCAGGGATGGTGAAAAACATTCTTGAACATTAACATTTGAAACTAGGAATTACAGACAGAAATTCTGCTTTCTCTGTAAGCGGCTCTATTTTATCTTCCAAACAACCTTGGTGGGCCAGTTAGGCACACAAGCATGCAGCAAGCTCATCCATTCAGCTTCATAATTGAGTGGACATTTGAACCCTGGTCATCTTAATCCTAGTCTGACATGCTAACTGTTATCCATAGTGGCTCTCTGAATTGAGTCCTGCATATGTGTAATGCCTCCTTCTCCTCTTCTCTCCATTTCTACAGAGTCTGCATACAACTTCTCTTCTCAGCCTGGCCTGATGAAGATGGCCAACTTCACCAATGACAACATCACTGAAGAGGGCACTGCCAAATATAAGACTGTGGAGATGGTCTTTATAGCTACAGTCACTGGCTCACTGAGCCTTGTCACTGTGGTGGGAAATATCTTAGTCATGCTGTCCATCAAAGTCAACCGTCAGCTCCAGACTGTCAATAACTACTTCCTTTTTAGTTTGGCCTGTGCTGACCTGATAATTGGAGTTTTCTCCATGAATCTCTACACAGTCTATATTATCAAGGGCTATTGGCCACTTGGGGCTGTGGTATGTGATCTCTGGCTGGCCCTGGACTATGTGGTGAGCAATGCTTCTGTCATGAACTTACTCATAATCAGTTTTGACCGCTACTTTTGTGTCACCAAGCCACTGACCTACCCAGCTAGACGGACAACTAAAATGGCAGGGTTGATGATCGCAGTTGCTTGGATATTATCCTTCATCCTCTGGGCACCTGCCATATTGTTTTGGCAGTTCATTGTCGGGAAGAGGACAGTTCCAGAAGGGCAGTGTTACATTCAGTTCCTCTCCAACCCGGCGGTAACCTTTGGTACCGCCATTGCGGCTTTCTACCTCCCAGTGGTCATCATGACTGTGCTGTACATCCACATCTCTCTGGCTAGCCGGAGCCGTGTGAGGAGGCACAGGCCCGAGAGCAAGAAGGAGAAGAAGACTAAGCCACTAAGTTTTTTGAAGAGCCCACTAGTTAAGCAGAATAACAACAATTCTCCAAAAAAAGCAGTCGAAGTGAAGGAGGTGAAAAATGGGAAAGTAGAAGAGCAGCCCTTGCAACCCTCAGAGACTACTGGACATCAAGAGGAGAAAGAGACTTCCAATGAATCCAGCACAGTAAGCATCACCCAGACCAATAAAGAGAAGCAGGCACTGGAAATTGTGCCAACTGAACAAGGACAAAGCCCAGCCCCTCCAAGGATAAACCCTGCCTCTAAGTGGTCAAAAATAAAGATCGTCACTAAGCAAACTGGTTCAGAGTGTGTCACGGCCATTGAGATTGTGGGAGAAAAAGAAGCCAGTTCCAATGCAATTACCTTGGCAAACAGCCGTCCGGCTAACGTAGCCAGGAAATTTGCAAGCATCGCAAGGAGTCAAGTCCGGAAGAAGCGTCAAATGGCAGCTCGGGAGAAGAAGGTCACCAGAACCATCTTTGCCATCTTGCTTGCCTTCATCCTGACATGGACGCCTTACAATGTGATGGTCCTCATTAATACCTTCTGTGATTATTGCATCCCTGATACAGTCTGGTCCATTGGGTATTGGTTGTGCTATGTCAACAGCACCATTAACCCTGCTTGCTATGCCCTTTGCAATGCCACATTCAAGAAAACCTTTAAGCACCTTCTCATGTGTCAGTACAGGAACATCGGCACAGCGAGATAATCTGGAATGTAGACAGACATCGTTTGGCAGAGCTGTTGCAGAGACTTGTTCTCCTGTTCTCCAGACAGACAACTGTGCAGTTCTTACTATTCAATTCCAGAGGAAGCCCTTCTTTTAAAAAAAATCACAGCAAAGCCAGATAAAGAGATAAAACACCCACACCTTTCCTCTTTTTTATTTGCTAACCATGAAGCAGCCATTCCAGTCTATATGGCCCCTGATCTGGTCTCCAGAAAAGAAAAAGAGTAGGAATTGGATGCTGTGATACAGTTTAATGGGAGAGGCATGCTGGATCCCTTTCCCTAACTCACTACTCTTGAAATCTTGGTGAGATTTGAAATCCCCTTCCATTCTCTGGAAATAGCCAGATATAAGGATAAAACCAGCTGGAGGTTATGCCAGTGTGCCAAATGGGACAAAAGGATGGTATGTAAGAGAACTTACCCCTTTTTCCTGAAGGCTTTGCACTTGTGTGTGAATGAGAAGAGGCTGTGAAAGTGAATTGGAAGTTGCCAGTAGTGCTAATTAATTCACACCCAAAAATGAATGTGAAGACAAAAAGGGATTGTCTCGGCACCACTTCTCAAGATTCTCCTTGGAACAAGTAATGGGACATGCCCAGGAAAGGTGACCGGCCAAAGTATACTTTAATAATGTTTTAGCACTTTGTCCCAGTTGAGTTCTCAATATGGCAAGTTCAAAGGACTTGTTCCCCTCAGGGAGTATTCCTGCAACTGGACCTACCTGCCTGCTAAGAGACTTCCTGAGAAACTTAGCCTGTCTTCATTCCCGTTCATGGAAGGTGGGTGGCTAAACAGACAGCTGAATGGGAGAGATTACTTTCTGCATCGAAATAATCACAACAGCAGTCGTTTTGGAAAAAAAAACAAAGACACACACATACATTGTTTGACCCATGCCAAATGAATACTTATGTCAAGACATTTGTGTGTATGGTTGAGACACTTGATGTGTGACTCTAAGGAAAATTCGACCCAAAAGGTCTGTCAGAGTGGAAGATTCCAGCATTGGGGAGTTTTGCAAAGGGCATGTAATCTTTGTAATGTACCCAGGACTCCCTTTCGTTTTTTTGTTGCTCTTTTTTTGGTAGGTGTCCCCTGCGCAATGTTTCCTCCCAGTTCCAAGATTATTTAAAGGAAATGTCCTTTACTGACTAGATATTTTGATTCTGACAGCTGGTTCCTATATGTAGGGGGTGGGAGAAGCACAATAGAGGCCTCCCCACTTCGCTGCTGCTCCAAGTGTCTGAGGGCATACCAAGAGAAGATAGCCCCTGAGCTTTGTAAATGGATGTTGACATCCCTTCTAGCCAGTGTTGTCATGGGAGCCCTCAGCATGTGGGCTCCAGTGTAAGTGTATGGCCTAAACCCCAGAATATTAATGTTCAGCTTTCAATTCAGTCCAACTATTGCTCCGTTTCTCTAGATTTCGGATAGCACCAGTACCCTCAGCGTGCTATCAATGTGAGATGGAAACCAATGGCCTAAAGTTGACTGGGGTGGGGCAGGGTGAGCACTAAAGTGTGGATGAAATCTCCATCTTATGGTGAAGGCCTCTCAGTTTGGGAGATGCCATTGTATTCGGTTGCTGCTTCATTCCATTCGGGAAAAGGCAGACATAATGCCATTGCCTTTGGAATAATTTGCATAATGTTTCCCAAAAATGCCTTGCAGGTTTTTTTATTGTTATACCTACAGTGGAGCCCACTTAAATAAACAAAGTAATTGAACTATATGGAATAAATCAATTTTTTTCAGTCAGTCATTTTAGTACCAGTTGCAGACTTCCTTATCTTAAGGCAATTGTCATTTTAGTTATATAACCCTATATATATATATATATATATATATATATATATATATATATATATACACACACACACACACACACACACATACATACACACACACACACACACACATACATACATACATACATACATACATACATAATACTTTCTCTATCTTTAGGTTCCTTGTCATAGTCTGCCACTGTGATTACCTACTACATTTTGAATGACAGCTGACATCATAGGATAATTTCACTGTGGATAGACTATAAATCAGAAAAGCAGAACTTTGAGCCCTCCGGATGTTTCTGAACTATAGCTCCCCACCAGGGCCGTAGCCAGAAAAAATTTTTCGAGAGGGGTTGAAATTTTCGGGGGGGGGGGGGTTGAAACCTGCCTCCTAGCTCACGCTGAAGCGAAGATTACAGCAGGGGGCAGAGCAGCCTTCAAAAGCCTGCAGTTCCGCCCCTGTCAACCACCAAGTGCTGGTTCTAGCCTATAAAGCCCTAAACGGTTCTGGCCCAACTTACCTGTCCGAGCGTATCTTCCCTTATGAACCATCTAGGACCTTGAGATCGTTTGGAGAGGCTCTGCTCTTGGCCCCGCCTTCGTCACAGGTACATTTGGCGGGAGAGACAGGGCCTTTTCAGCGGTGGCTCCCCGGCTATGGAACGCCCTCCCCAGAGAGATTAGATTTGCTCCCTCCCTCTTAACGTTTCGGAAGCAACTCAAAACGTGGCTGTTTGTGCCAACATTCACAAACACAGAGTAACAGATACAGATAACTGATATAGGAACGGATAACTGATGATGTAATTGGACAATGCTTGACAATAAGGAAACGCCAATGATGTTGTTTTTATTTCTGTTGTAATTTATGTAATTTTAATGTTTTTAAATTGTATTATGATACTATGTATACTGTTTTGTTGGAAACCGCCTTGAGTCGCCGATAGGCTGAGAAAGGCGGTATACAAATACAGTAAATAATAATAATAATAATAATAAGAAGAAGAAGAAGAAGAAATTGTCAATATTTGCTTGAGATAGTGCTTGCAGTTCTGGAAGGACTCTTAATTTTTTTGCATCTCATAGACTTAGCATGGGGATTTGGTTAACAAGTTAAAAAAATTCATAAGTAATCCAGGTTTTTTTTTAATCTGAAACATTTCGGGGGGGGGGGGGTGTTGAACCCCTAACCCCTCCCCCCTCGCTACAGGCCTGCTCCCCGCATAGTTATGCTGCTTGGATTTATGGGAGATTAAACCCAACAATATTTGGAGCACTACACATTTCTCTACTTATCACTGTTCGACTACACAGTATGGCAATCCATCCTAAGAATAAGGAAGATCTATGGTTAGGGCAATTAAGGAGCATTGCATAGATTACGTATATAATGAGACATAAAACTGCTGGGGTCAGATATGAAGAATTGGAAATAACATGTGTGCAGTTAATTAGACCAACAAAACTTATAGGCCTACTATGGGTGGAATGTGAACATTTTTCCCAATCTCCTGTGACACCCTGCTGAGTCCTTCTCATTTACCAGGTGCAATGATTGTGATCACAGCAGTAGATCTTCCTACTGCCACCATCAACAGCAATGACTGTGGGAGTAGACAGAAGACCCTAGAACAATTCCTACCTACCCAAGGGGCCTTGGTACCCTGCTAAGGTAATTTCCCAAGAAACGTTTCCCAGAGCACCTGAATTATTTGAATGGAAATAAAACACCCTGGAAACAGTGGCCAAGATCTTTAGTTAGCCTGGCAGAACACACTGCTCTACCATCATAATTGTGCTCCTTTTCCACCTCAATGCACTGGCATGGTCTGTGCCAGGGTATACCCCCTGTAGGCACTCAGGCAAGGTTTGTGTGTGGTATGACCTAAGGAGTAAGAAAGAATAGCTGCACCTACAGCCAATACCTGGCATGTCCAAGGCTGGTTGCACTGAGTGGGAGGGTAGTGAACAAAGAGGCACTGAATACTTCCCTGACAATAATGTAAACCCCCGCCCCCCAGATACCCAGGTGTAACAGGAACTTTCACTGTGCATATCATCAACATGCTTTCAAATAGTATGGCCAGGACTGGTTGTATCACGAACCTCTACAGGGGCTGGGGCAGGGAGGGTGAAGCAGTGGTAGCTCCCGAGTTGTTCCTTGTGAGCTTTCCAGTTCCTTCTTTCCATTAATGGAAAACAATGTGTAAGTGTGCTGCACAATCCTTCTGGAGCCTCTAACCTAGTGTGTTAAACTAGATAGAGTACATGAAAAGTGCTATCCCATTGCCATTGTTACACTTTGACCCCCAGAGCAGTCAGCATCTATATAATATAGTGATAGAGGATGACCATAACTTTAGTTTGGTTCACTTGACAGTAGATTTTCTGTCATGCTGAATTGTTTCAGACTCTTTAAATACTATTTTAAAGCTGATTTGTTGACTATATTTTTATGCAGCTGGGCAGTAAAGGATCAGCACAGTCAAAATGGGTTTTTTTCCACATCAGAAGCAACTTGAGAAACTGCAAGTCACTTCTGGTGTGAGAGAATTGACCGTCTGCAAGGATGTCGCCTAGGGGACGCCCGGATGTTTTGATGTTTTACCATCCTTGTGGGAGGCTTCTCTCGTGTACCCGCATGGGGAGCTGGAGCTGACAGAGGGAGCTCATCCGCATTCTCCCCAGATTCGAACCTGTGACCTGTTGGTCTTCAGTCCTGCCAGCACAAGGGTTTAACTCACTGCGCCACCAGGGGCTCCAGTCAAAGTGTGATATAGGGAGAGACAAAAAAAAAAAAAAAGGAATGAACCCAACATGCAACATTGCATTCTGTTTCCAAAATGGCTAACAAGATGTTAGCACCCTCCCATCTATTTTGAATCGGCTGGGGACTGTTTACACTATACTATGACCCTCTAAATTTGTGGGGGATCCATTCCAGGACTTTGTGTGAACATGTGAAATTGTGAATTATAGCAAATCTCTACTCAACCAAGATAGGTGCTGGGGCCCCAGAGTAAAGACATATAGGCCTCTTGCTCAGCTGAGACAGTCACGAGCAGCCTGACCATGCTTCTCCTGGTGGGGTAAAGGGATGGAAAATGCGAGGAAGGATTTCGGTTAGTGGCAGCAGCCATGGATCATAGGTAAGTGAATACCCCCTGGTATCGGAACTGATCCAATGGATACAGGTGTTGTCACGCACATATGTAGGACAACATGATTCCATTTTAACTACCACAGCAACTTGAATTAAGTCCTGGTATTTGTAGTTTTGTGGGACACAAGAGTTCTCCAGCTGAGAATTCTAAATATCCCTCCCAAAACTACAAATCCCAGGATTCTATAGAATATAAGGATGGCAGTTACAGGGAGATGATCATGATAAAAATTCCCCAAACACTGTAAGAGATAGCATCTCTGACATTGGGTTGCTGTGAGCTTTCCGGGCTGTATGACCATGTTCCAGAAGCATGACCATATAGCCTGGAAAACTCGCAGCAACCCAGTGATTCCGGCTATAAAAGCCTTTGACAACATGTCTCTGACATTGGCATCAATGTATAGCCATTAGGGTTAGCAGTTATTGAAAACCTCTTCTATGAATCTGTTCACTGCAGAGGTTTGGAAAATTAGGGGGATTGGGGGTTCACGGAGTCAGAGAAAATGGCTGCCTCCCTCAAAGAAACCAAAGCAAATGAGGCTGGTGGGATAGGTTGTGTCATCCTCTTTGCTGCTTTTCATCAGTTTTCATGGCTGCAGGAGGAGCCAGGTTTGTGTGGGCACCTTGCCTGGGAAAGTGCCTCCAGAAGGAGCTCCCCTGGGAGCCAGCCGAGTGCCGGTGCCATGCATTTACCCAGGAGAGCTGGTTATTGCCCTCAGAGCTGTCTGCCTCAGCAAGGTTTGCCCAGTCTTTGAGTCTGCTTCTAATCATCCCACAGCTTTTGCAGCCTTGCATTGCGTCTGGTAGCAATTATGCTGCATTAACTGAGGAATTCTAGCAGGCTGAAAAGCCTGGGGCAGGGATTTAGTTCCTCCAAGGAAAGAGGGGCATTGGAAGGAGGAAGAGGGAGGGTGGGCATTCAGCAGAGCTTGGAGAAGCTACTCTTTTGGATTCCAAGCCTCATTGGGTGGGATGGGGACCACATGCAATGCTGCCACTGCAGGAACACAGAGGACCTATGGGAGTGTTTAGTCAATAGGCTTCGCCATGGAGTACACTTGCACTCCTTGCCATGTGGAGAGACACTATTTACCAGTCCAGACACAGTGACACTGAGAATGAGAGAAGGTGTAAGGATGGTTAAAATGCCCAGTCCCCAACAATGAATGCAAAGATACAAGAGGAGATAAATGATCTGGCTTTTCCCCATTACTCGAGAACTAGCAGCAGACTACTGTGTGTGGAACAACTGTGATGGGAAACTACAGGGAAGAGCAGACTGGGATATAGAAGAACGAGTGCATTTTTGTATGTTTTGGGTGCATGTTTTTTAAATGATGTTGAGCAGATATCGTAGAAAGAAAAAGAGGATATTTTGTGGGGCTGAACCCCATTAATTTTTTTTCGTGCCAGGAGCGACTTGAGAAACTGCAAATCGCTTCTGGTGTGAGAGAATTAGCCATCTGCAATGACGTTGCCCAGGGGATGCCTGGATGTTTTGATGTTTTACCATCCTTGTGGGAGGCTTCTCTCATGTTCCCACATAGGGAGCTGGAGCTGACAGAGGGAGCTCATCCGCTCTCCCTGGATTCAAATCTGTGACCTGTCGGTCTTCAGTCCGCCGGCACAGGAGTTTGACCCATTGCACCACCAGAGGCTCCATTAAAATGAGCAAAGATGACCCCAAGATCTCATCCATTTCAATGGGATGGGTACTGGAGACAAACTTCATCACACTTAAAGGACAGCATCCTCCATCACACCA